CACAGACAACCCCGTAACAATATGCGTTTTGTACTGCTGTTACACAGCAAAAAACGCATAATAAATTAAGTGCAGATTCAGAGGTTATGCGCCCTCCCCTCCTATTTTAGAACAGTGAATTAGTTACAATTGCAGGTAAGTGGACATGTACGCAGCCAATGAATTCGATCAGATCACGAGTTGGTGTCGCTGTATTGAATCGCTTGCTATACGCGATTGGTGGCTATAATGGGCATGAACGGTTACGCACTGTGGAAGTATTCGATCCCGAACAAAACAAGTGGAGCGAGGTCACCTCTCATCTATTTGTATCAGGATTTTGAGAGTAGTTTTCATTTTTCAAGCGAATTGCAGTTTTTTGCAAGCGATTTTTGAGAAAATTAACCAAAGAGGCCTGAAATTTCGTTGAGGAAAACGAAAATTAGCTAATGGACACTAATTTATTTTGTAAAGAAAAAGGGAAAGTCCATCGTAAAGAGCGTGCCAAAGTTGCTATGGAAAAGGGGATTGCTCGAGAAGCAATGTGAGTGATACTACTGCGTTCTCCAGTAATACTTTTGCCCTTTTGGGCAGATTTTCGAAAATTAAAAATGGTCTCATAAATGGCAAAATGCATTGCCAGCACCAGGATTAGCTTGAAGATTAACATTATTGCTGGGTCTGTTGCTGTAGACCTTGCTTGTCTTCAATTGTTGCCCACCATGCGCATTAGCTCCTTGGTGGGATCCCTCGTTAAGGTATAGATTTAAGAAATGGGGCTAGCATCACTATTTGGAGAGTTTCTTGTGGACTTTGAAGGTCGAAAGTGGAAAAATCATAATCTTTTGCAGGTATGCCCTCTGATCAATAAGCGCTCAGCGCTAAGTGCTGCTGTAGTAAACGAGTTGTTGTATGTTTGTGGTGGTTACGACGGAATTAGTTCACTGTCATCAGTGGAAGTTTACAATGCTTGCCTGAATCGATGGACATTGACGATATCGATGAATCGGCAAAGATCGGCTGCCGGTGTTGCCGTGATCGATAATTACATCTATGGTAAGTGACAGCATGGGTTTTTTTCAATAACTTTTCCACATACTGTCAAAATATTGCTGGCATCCACACCTAATTTTTTCGGCAGTTTTTGTTCTCGCAACCCATCATATTATTCTTTTTGCAGCATCATAATTACTGCGTATATTTTAATTTTCGTACTGACCAATGCAGTACTTGAAAGTGTGGTATTTTCCAAAAAATAAAGGGATCTTCTACTCAGCACACTTCATTCTCCCTTTCTGAACTGTTGGATTGTTAGAGGTATGCAGTTATTTTAGAATACGATGTCTAACTTGATAAAATTAGCCTACGAAAGTTTTTTATAAAAATCGTCTTCTCTAAGATGGGTCAATTTGATGCTGTTCGAGACTGCATAAATGCTTAAAGCAGCACTATTTTGCAACATTGGTAGTCTTTTTCAGTTTCAGTTAAAACTGTTACGAGATTCCACAAATCTCCGCAAATTTCCTATTTTAAACTCCACCTATTTTTTACATGATAAAAATGGGCTCAGTGGCACTGTCTTTGCTAAAGTGCTGGGTATAATCATTTTTTTAGAGTACATAGTGTGATCTTTTTAATTTTGGAGCATTTTTTTTCGGGGGGGGGGGGGGGGGGGGGGGGGGGGGGGGGGGGGGGGGGGGGGGG